TGAGCTATCTCCCCCGCCCCTAGGGGTTTTTAAAAAATGAGAATGCTAGTAGTGGCGGTGTGTATGCCTATAATCCCAGATCGCAAAAGGCTGAGGCAGGAGAATCGCCTGCGAGTTCGAGGCCAGCCTGCATAGCGAGACTCTGTCTCAAAAAAAAAAATATTTTTTTAATGAGAATGATCTGTAGTTAGTGATATGGCAAATAGGAATGCTCGAAGACTCGGAAGCAGGAAACGAACCGAGATAAAAGAAGATGTTATCACGCGTGGCCAATGCGAGGAGTAGATCCTTCTCCTTGCCTCCCAAACTCACACGCCCCCCACCCCACCCCCGTTTAAGCAGCAAGGGGGCGTGGCCAATCTAGACCACCAATGGAAGCGGGGGTAAGTGGCTCGAGCCTCTAGGAGGCGGGACTTGCTCAGCCTGACCAATGAGAGCAGGAAGCGCGCGCGCAGCCCTTGGGCGCTCAGGCTGGTGCATGGCGGATACAGTGCTGTTCGAGTTTCTGCACACTGAGATGGTGGCAGAACTGTGGGCTCCGGACCCCGACCCAGGCCCGGGGGTGAGCGCCGGGCCCCGGGGGAAAGGATGCGCGGGCCGCGACGGAAAGGCCGGGTGGAGGCCCCAGGATGTTTGGAGGGTAGCACTGCCGCCTGGTTCTGCCTCGCAGCGTGACTTCGGGCGCCGGCTCTTTTGAGCTGAGGGTCGCGACAGTGCTTTCCTCGCAGGTTACACCTGAAATTGAGCGAGATGACTCAGGATAAAGCACTAGTTCAAGGCCGGCAGAGTAAGCGGTTAGTAATTATAATAATTGCAGTTACTGGGCGTGTACTGAGATTTCGTTCCAACGCTCACTAATCAGTTCTCTATTTTTATTTTTGTGAGTTACTGGAGACCGAACCACTGAACCCAGGACCCTCGTACTGAGTTATATCCCTAAGATTTTTTGTTTGCTATTTTGAGATAGTCTCCACAAGTCCCCAAGTTACCCAGAGAAGCCTCGAACTCACGACCCTCCTCCCTCGGCCTCCCAGAGTACTGGGATTACAGCGTCACCACGCTCGGCTTAATCACTTAATTTCTGTATGCCTGTTTTCTCCTTTGCCAGATGGCATTTTAAGTGTACCCAAGTCTCAGAGTAGGAGGGACACTCATGGGACACTTGAAGATCTGTTGTATTCCAGATTTCATTCTAAGAAAAATGTTGTTCTCTGTGAAGCATACCTCCAGAGAGTGGGATGGTGCAACATGCCCAAAGCCAGTGAGCATCTCTATAAAGAGATCAGGAAAAAAAAAGGGCGGGGGGGCGGGGAGATGGCTCAGTAGGATAAGCATTTGACTGGCAAACACAAGGATCTGAGTTCAAAACTTCAAAGCACTTGGTGAGGTGTCTGGCCCATAGCCCCTAAAATATGGATGCGCTTGTTAAAAAATCTGTTACTGAACTGATCCTGTAGCTCAGTGATTGAGCGCTTGCATGACATGCACAGGATCCTGGGTTCCATCCCCAACCCTGTAGACAAAACTTGGGGGGGGGGGATTTTTGGTACTGGGAATCAAACTCATGACCTTGCCAGGCAGGCGCTGTGTCACTGAGCGGTATCCCTGGTCCCAGACAAAATCTTAACAACAACAACAAAAATGGCCAAGGAAAATCACAGACTGTCGGTGCATAATAAGTGGGAGCCAAGATCGCCTCTTTGCCTTATGCAAGGCATTTTTATTGGCTCAGGTTTCCCTTCCCAGATGGAAAGCACCAGGGTGGGTGGTGCTTGTCTCTTAGGGTAGCGTCTTTTGAGTTTATTAATTCACTCAACAAACTTTACCAAGCCCTGCAAGGTACCAGCCTGCTGTCGCCTCAGTGAACCACACAAAAGTCCTGGTCCTGCAGTGCCTGTTAGAGCACAGGCAAGACTTACAAATGAGTAAAGTGGGTGGGCTGTTGTGTAACTGCGGTAGGAAAGAGAAAGCTGATGTGTCTGCGTGGGAGGGGGGTGCATCAGCCTGTGGCCAGGCAGGGGTGTAGCTGTCTCGGTACTCGTGCTTCTGGGAGTCCAGACACCAGCCCTCGCAGACAAGGGCTTCATCTCCCATCGACCAGGGGCTTTCACCTAGACTGACAGACTGGCTAATCAGAGTGGCACTGAGGCTCTGGCTCGCTTACCAGCCCCTTTCCTAAGCATCCTGGGAGGGGCATTTGTTACATTCTTACTGTATACAGGGACCCTGAGGCATGGGCCATCAGCCACTGCCAGCCGTTCAAGGGGCAATGTGCATGGCAGGAAACAGTGTGTGGGGGGTGTTCTGTCCCCCCACACTCTTCTCATCTGGTGTTCTTGTCCAAGCTCCCTGGCCCTCCCATTCAGCCCGCTGTGTGCTATGGAAGCGGGAGCAAAACAGGCAGGGGAAGGAAAGGAGCAGGCCAATGTGACCCGGCAGGAAGCTCTGTCATGGTCAGCCAGGCAGGCAAGGCCAAGCTGCTATGGCCACACTGAGTGGGACACCTTGCTTTGAAATGGTAGCCTCTGCTCAGCACCCCCATCCCAGTGTCCCCAGTGAGTCACAGCCTTCACCACCCCCTGAGGGGGTCATCCGGCTCACGCATCTGGACTCAGTGTGACAGTTCCATGACTTAGTAGGGCTCTGGGAAGTTTTCCAACCCGTTAGAGCCCATTTCCAGGTGTAAATGGTGTGGCTCAAACTTGAAGCTTCCCGCAAAGCCCCTGACCTGGCTCAGGTCCTGCCGCAGGCTGAGCTCCCCAAGCCGGGACCCAGTGAGTGGAGTCCAGCGGAGGGGACTCGGGAGCTCAAGCCAAGGGCAGGGTTGTGGCTGGAGACAGAAAAGAGGGGCTGTTTCCGAGAAGGCCAGGCCTCCTCCCAGGACTGGGTCTAAGCAAAGCATACCTGTTCCCTATTCCCTGGGACAGGCATTGACTGAGGAAGGAGGGTGACTGCAGCCTCCCTCATGAGCCCGCAGAAGAGCACCCAACAGGTCCCACTTCCCTCCTGCTTGTGTGCTCAGGGTTCTGCCTGGGGTTGTCCCAGGATTCCCGATAGCCCCAAGCTGGCCTGTGGTCCCTCTGCTCGGGGTCCCCCTGAAGCCTCCAGTCCCCTTGGTGCGGGGAAGGGAAGATCGGTACCTCAGGCACCTCCCATCATAGGATCTTCACCTGCCCCTCTCCCCTACCACAGTGTCCCTTCCTGACCCTGTGTGTCCCCCTAGGGATCTTGACTGGCTTTGTTAGGTCAGATGGTCTCAGGTGACACAGACCCTCCTCATGGCCCAGCCTGAGCAAGTCGCCCACTCATTTGTCCCAGTACCCCTGTTGTAAGGGCTCACAGTGAAGTGCTCTGTGTGGGATGGGTGCTATCAGGAAGCCCCTGTGGTCCCTGGAACAAGGCCTGCAGGGGCCCCGGGAGGGGACCGCCATCCCTCTAAAGCCCCTGCCCGCCTGGGCCAGACTGGGTGGAAGGCCCTCCTCACCATGGACCATCAGGCATGCAACTCTTGGGATTTCTCACAGCTGCCACCTCTGGCTGTCTCTTGGTGACAGGTGACCAAGGGCCCCTGAGCCTCTCCTCTGGCCTTTTAGGGACAGAAGACAAGTCTGACTGTCCTGGAGAGCATGGGCTTCCGTGTGGGCCAGACCCTAGGTGAGAGGTAAGATCTGACACTCCTGGCCTCCTCCACTTTGTTTGGGGACTCAGCAGGACCCTGGGGTGGAGGTCTGAGTGGGTCCCAGCTCATCATGTGGCCCTCAAGGCTGCCCCAGGAGACACTGGGCTTCAGGGAGGAGCTGGATGTGCTCAGGTTCCTGTGCAAGGACCTGTGGGTGGCCGTGTTCCACAAGCAGATGGACAGCCTCCGGACCAATCACCAGGTGGGTGTGCCAGGTGCCTGCCTACCACAGTACCCCAGGCCTCCAGGTGGGTGGCAGAACTCAAAGCCAGGGGAGCCAGGGTGGGGACCCTGTGTAGGAGGGAGGCCAGGTTGCGGTGGTAGCGGGCTGTTTGAAGACTGGCGGGAGCCTCTTCTGGCTTTCTGACCTGGCAAGTCACTGCTTGCCTTGTGCTGGTGCCAGCTGCCGGTGACTGCCCACGCCAGCCTAGCCCTCCAGCTGGGTCAGGGACCAGGCTGCCAGTTCCCCAACAGCCCTGAGGGGTGGGCAGACCTGAGCCCTTCTGAAGCTCAGAATGAGGGGCCCTAACACAGGTGACAAGGGAAGGGTCCTAGCCTGCATGGCCCCTCTGCTCCTAGGGGACCTATGTCCTGCAGGACAACAGCTTCCGCCTCCTCATCCCTATGGCCTCGGGCCTGCAGTATGTGGAAGAAGCACCCAAGGTACAGAAACTATACCTTGTTTCCCACCCCGCCCCAAGTTAGACCTCTTCCCAGACCTGGGACCTGGTGCTGGCCTCCCTTGTGCCATAGTGGTCTGTGTCCCCTGCTGCAGTTCCTGGCCTTCACCTGCGGCCTTCTGTGTGGCACCCTCCATACCCTGGGCTTCCAGAGCTTGGTCACCGCCTTTGTGACAGCCCTCCCTGCCTGTGAGTGTTGGCGGTGGTGTCTCCACGCCCATTGAGTGGGCGGGGGGCGGGGGGCTCCACGCACTTCTAGCCCTGCTCCCACGTGAGTGCTGGAAGGTAAAGCCAGGCCATGAAGCCCTATCTAACATGCGAACTTGAGGTCCTGAGCCCTCAGTCACCAGGCCGGTCCATGCCCAGCCCTGGGGCGGCCCAGTGCTTCCTGGGTGGCCATGCTGCCTGAAGAGAGACCCATCTGGGACCGTGGACTGAACAGGGGGACAGACATATGGACATCCACCTAGATGGTTTCTCTAGAGTGGGGTGGGAGCTCCAAAGGCCTTTGTACTCCCTGGGTGGGAGCCTCCAGGCTGCAGAGTGAGCTAAATCCCTGGCCCTGCCTATGCGCAGCCCTATAGCCTATGGCCAACTATAGGGTGCAGACTGTGGTCGCCCTCTCCCAGTGCCCCAGGCCACTCATAGGGAGCTGGGGGCCCACGTGGACAAGGCCTGAGCAATACATGCCACAGAATCCCAGCTGAGGCCCCTCCCCAGCTTCCTACATGCCTGAACTCCATGCCCCCAGCACCCACACAATGCTGGGGTGAAGCTAGCTGGGTGGAGCATTACCCCCTTTGGCCCACTCACTGAGCACAGGGTGCCCCACCCCGGGCCACCCAGGTCAGGGTGGGTGCTGAGTCGCTGGGTGTTTTCTGCCTCCCCCACCCCCATGTCCCAGCCACGCTAATAGCAGCCCTTTCCTTCCAGGTAAGTTCCAGGTGGTGATCCAGAAACCCTGAGGACCTGGAGCACACCCTTGAAGCAGCCCAGCCCCCCTCCCCCCAAGAAGTGACTATCACCTTGCCCAGGATCCCAGGCTGTCACTTTTGGGTTGGTTGGTCTTAGAACTGGCACTTCCAGGGATCCTGGGCTCTAGGGTTACCCCTTCCCAAGAAGAGGGTATCCCAGGGAGGTGGGGGGCACAGGGCCAGATGGTCCCACAGTGGTGGCTAGAATGGAATGATGTGGGTCGTGACACTCCAGGTGACAGGCATTCAATAAAGATTTTGTGTATGGTTCAAAGTGAGGGTGTGTCTCTAGTGACTGTGTCATGGGTCCCCTTGGGGGCACAGCACCACCTGCATGTTCACCCCATAGTCCCCCCACTTTCTATGTGCCATCCCCAGCTGATTGCCTGGGGTCAGAAACCCATCACCTCCTCCAATAACTGCTCCCCCCTCCCTGCCTGCTGCCTTGGCATCTGCCAGTCAGCAAGTCTGGGGCTGCCCTCTGCCCAGCGGGTGCATGCATGAGTACAGTTTCTCCCTGGGGAGCCCCCACACCTGCTCCCACCCACACGCAACATCCTGCACCAATGGCCTTTCATTCTTTTTTTTTTTTTTTTTTTTTGTGGAACCGGGGATTGAACTCAAGCCCTTGCACTTGCCAGGCAAGTGCTTATTCCACTGAGCCATTTCCCTGGCCCCACCAGTGGCCTTTCAGACACAAGTCAGACCCACAGCAATGGCCTGCTCGGTCCCTGGGCTGTTCCAGCGTCTTCTGTGTTCACCCTGCCACCTCCTCCCATTTGCGTTTGTAGCATCTAGGGCCATCACATACCTGGGCTTGTACCTGGGTTCACCTCAGCCTCAGAGCTGTGAACAGGCTGGAGACCCCAGGGAAGAAGGAAAGGCCCCCAGCCAGAAACCCCAGATGGCTCAGGCATCCTGTCTCCTGGCTCAGCCCACACAGCTAAGCTGTGCCCCTCCGCCTCCAGTAGCCACGGCCTCGCCAACCCACTGAGCACCTTGCCCTTCTGTGCCAGCCCCGGGGGGACCCCATCCTGCTCCGGGCTTCAGCCATGGTACCCCCTGCCAACATGCACTTCCCCTGCATCCTGGGTGGGGATGGGGTACACCACGAGAGGAAGTGGAGGAAGGAGGCCTTTGCAGTTTGGGTCTGAGCACTGCAGGGAAGAAACAGGACCAGCTGGAACCAGCACAGTGTGGCTGCCTGGGCAGAGCCCCGCGTGGAGCTGTCTTCATCACCATGAAACTACCCACCCTTGGGGAAGGCCTGCCTACCAGCTGCCACAGAGAGACAGTTCTAGGGAGTGGAGGGACCCCCAAAGTACCAAGCCCTTGCCCAGTACTGCTGTGGCGAGTTGGGAGCCCTGACCAGCAGGCAGGAAGCCGAGCCTGGCGACAGGTGCCGCCTGTTCTCAAGTCCCTGCTCTGCCTTGGGGCAGGGAGCCCTAAGTGGCTCCCAGCTCTGGGCCTGGGTTTCCTCATCTGTGAAGAAAGTATCACAGCAGCCCCTCGGGTGGTGAGGAAGCAGGCGCTTATGGAGCTGCTCCCCACGCGGCTGCCAAGTATGTGAGACACGTGGAGCAGCGGCTTCTAAGTGGGTCAGCCAGCCACCACCTGTCAGCATCTGCTGTCCCTAAGGGCCAGGACGTGGGCTCAGCGATGCCTCCTGATAACCTCAAGAAGAAGGTGCCAGCCGAGCCCACTCAGCAATGAGGAAGCCAAGGCCCAGCACGGTGAAGTCACTGGCCCACAGCCACACAGCTGGGCTTGGGAGGAACTGGCAACGGAAGTAGAAAAGTGTCTTCCCAAGACTTATCCTCCTGAGACTCAGCCTCCCTGTCCCTGTACACTGTCCCCTACCAGGAGTGTCCAAGACTGTGTGCGCACCTTCCCCATCCTCTCCTGGGGTACACAGGTGCAAAGTCCTAGAGAGCAGCAGGGCGGGCTGCTGTTGGGAGGGGCGGGGGCTGGCAACCAAACCGGTCGGGCAGGCGGCGCTTGGGCACCAGTTGGGCCTGCGCGGCAGACGGTCCTGTCGTGGGGCTGGCCGGGCAGCTCGGCCACCAGCAGGGAGCTGGGGCCGCGAGGCCACCACCGGGTAAGTACAGGGATCTGGTCTGGGGGGTGGGGTGGGGGCAGCAGGCAGGGCCCCACTCGTGGCCTCCAATTCCTACCAGTCCCACAGTGTCACCCGCCGCTGCCCCCCAGAAGCATCCTTCCTGCCTCTGCCCTCCGGAGCCCATGTACGCCGCCACTCTCAGCCTCTCCCCAAATGACCACCACAGCTTCACTGCTCCCCCCTTTTCCCTCTCACTCAGCCCTTCACGTGTTCCTGGCTCTGAGCTCTCATTCACCCTGGGTGTCCTGGCAGCTTCCCAGCTCAGCCCCATCCTCCCCTGGCAGCCCCAACCCATTCCCCTAATGTCACTGGGCCCTCCTGCCCCTCTCTGGTGTCCTTGCCTCCATCTGCCCCAAGGGTCACCTCCACAGCCAGCCCCTCTCCACACTGTGTGGCTGTGCCTACCTCTCCCACTTGGGCCTCCACCCCATGACCTGGGACCCAACCCTGGCCAAGAGGGACATCCTGGGGCACGGCAGGGACCCCGACCTCAGCTCTCCACCACTGCATGGGCACTGAGCTCACGGTGTCCCTCGCCAGGAGCAGGCCCCGAGGTTGCGGCCCGCCATGCAGAAGCACTACAGCGTGCACTACACCAAGAGAGCCCACACTGCCACAGAGCCCTACTGCCCGGATGCAGAGTTAGGGCACCAAAAAGGTAAGGGCTCAGGGTGTGGGGTGAAGGGTGGGAGAGAGGAATTGGGGAGCTGCACTGAGTGGCTGCTGCCAGTGCCCTCTGAAGAGGCTTTTGTGGTTTGAGGTGATTTTATTTATTTTATTTTTATTTTTATTTTTGTGGTACCAGGGATTGAACTCCAGATCTTACACTTGCCAGGCAAGGACTTATTCTACTGAGCTATCCCCAGCCCTGATTTTATTTTTTGTTGTTGTTGGCTGGTCGACTGATTAATGCTGGGGACTGCATCAGTCCTTTTTATTTTTTACTTTGAGACAGGGTCTCATTAAGTCACTAAATTCCCCAGACTGTGCTTGATTTTATTTATTTATTTATTTATTTATTTATTTATTTATTTTTGGTACAGGGAATCAAACTCAGGACCTTGTGCTTGCCAGGCAGGCACTTAGGCTGCTGAGCTATCTCTTTGGTCCTAGGCTTGAACTTTTGACCTTCTTGCCTGAGTCTCCCAGAAGGCTGGGGTAACAGGCAATACCACCACAACTGCCTTATTCTTTTTGTTTTGTGTTTGAGATAGAGCCTGGCTACGGTGCCCAGGCCGGCCACAAACTCCTGAGATCAAATGATCCTCCTGCCTCAGCCTCCCAAGTACTTGGACTGCAGGTGTTTGTCCCCACCACTGGCTGGTAGCCCTGACTGTAGAGCCTTTGGTGTGATTAGGCCTAGGAGGTGGGCACAGGACTTGGATCAAAGACAGAAGGTTACTCTGGGGATGGGTCAGCTATCCGGCACTTCTGGGGGACAACCGTACCTGGGGGAGCAGTGTAGGAGGAGAGGGGAGCCCCCATCTGATGTCTGAATGAGATACCAGATTCCCTCCTAGTAGGGCTCCCTGGGCCTACCTGGTCAGCACCTACCTTTCTGAGCCCTGGGACAAGCCTGCCCCTCCTTCCCTGTACCTGGCTGTCCCCACCTGTCACTCTGGCTGCTCTGGCCCAGCCAGATCACTTCCTGGGGATTATTCTCAGCACTCTCCACCTTGGAGTCCCCACCCTGTGCCCCCCTGACTTTTCAGGGCCACTGACACTCCTGCAGAGGATCCGGCTGGACTCTCCTGCGTTGTACCAGTGCCCAGGGCTGGGGATCCAGGCCCAGTCACCCCTGCTTCCTTCCTTCCAGGATGCTGTCACCAGTGGCGCCAGGACCCAGCGGCCACTCGAGCCCATGGGCCCTGTCGGCCATCCCCTCAGTCACACTGGCAGCAGGCCTACTACAGCCATCGAGGCTGTGGCAGTCGCTGGCACCGGGGCCCCAAGGTCCCCGTCCTACAGCAGCAGAAGCAGCGGCAGCCCCAGCCTCCACCTCCCAGCCCCGTGCGGCAGCGGCTCAGCCTGGTTCACAGGGCCCAGAAGGGGCCAACCCCAACTGCTGCTGCCCCCACGGGACCAGCCAGCGCCCCCCAGCCATCCCCCATGCCCTCCATCTCACCCACCACAGCACCTGCCACGGCCAGCAGCGGCCCCACCCTGCGCTCCACAGCCCGCACCCTCCTGGAGCCCAGCGAGCCCACAAGTGCCCGGCCCCTGCCGGCCCCGGCAGCCTGCGGCTCCTTCACCTCCTACGGCTCCGGTGCTCAGCCAGGCCTTCTCGGGGGCTCTGCCTGGCTCCTGCCTTGCTTCTGCCTGGGCTTCTTGCTCCCTGGCTGGCACCTTGGGCTCCCTCCCATCCCTCACTCTGCTCCCTGCCCCTGGGTCCCAGGTGCTGCCTCTGCCTGCCCTGTCTACCTGTCGGGGTCCATGGCTTCCAGGCTAGGCCTGTGCTGGGCAGCAAGGGCCACCCTTCTGTTCATCTCCACCTCCTGGGGACCTGGCTCTGCTTTCTCTTCCCAATCCCCCATCTCCTGGCTGGGCAGGGGATGGGGAAGACATGGGACAGCCTGGTGTGGGGGAGACAGGCCCCATGTGGAGCCACTGTGAGAGGTAGGGAGGGGATGGGACAGGGAGAGGGTGTCCAGTGCAGAGGGCACTGCCCTCATATATACAGGTAGCTGGTGGCGATGAGGTGCTGACCACTCCTGCTGGCCAGGCACTGGCTAGGGCAGTGGGGAGCAGGGCACAGATCTGTCATGTTCTACAGGATGAGGGACGGCAACAGGAAACAGGATGAACAAGAAGAGATTAAAAGCGTGTCATTGAGTAACAACCCCACTGGGGAAAACAAAGCAGGGAGGGAGGGGGTGTAGGAACTGGGGGTGAAAAAGCATCAGGATGCCTCTCAGTGGTGACATCTGAACACACCTGTGCATCAGGGCCAGTGAGGCAAAGGCCCTGGGCAGCTTGTCCTAGGGCTATCAGGAAGCAGTCCAGGACTTAGGAATGAGGCCAAAGCCACAGGAGGCTTGGGAAGGACAGGAGCCATTAGAGTGTGGGCCACAGCCTGAGGGGTGCAAAGCACTGGCAGCCTGACCAGGGTGGTGGCAGTAGACATGGGGACACGCAGCTGTTTCAAGGCCTGGGTTGGGCACAGCCTTGTCACCAGAGCCTTGGGGCCAGGGTGCCCATTTCACACACAGGAAAATAGAGGGTGCATAAGGTGACATCACCCATTGATCAGGCAGAACCAGGACTAGGTCTGGCCTGGCAGCCATCACCTTGGCTGACCTTGTCCTGAGTCTACCTTCTGGTTCTGCCACCAGCCCTGGGCCCAATTTCTGCAAAGAGTCCAACCTTCAGGTCTCTCCAAAAGTGGGTGTATCGCACCACTACGCACCATGAGGCTGGCCCGGCCAGCATGACTGAATGCTACTACTTGGCACCCAGATTCCAGGTCTAGGAAGTTAGGTGCAGGGGGGCAGGGGCAGGGACCCTCTGCAGAGTGGATAGCAGCAGTCGTCTGTGGAGCCCTGCAGGGCTGGCAGTCTACACGGCAAGGGCATTGCCCTTGACCAGGGGCCTGGCCAAGACCCCTGGTGTCTTCAGAGGAAGGGACTGAACCTTACGGAGGTGTCACTTCCTAGGACCCGCAGGGGAAGGGGCTGGGCCATGACTGGAACCACAATCTGGGCAGGAGTGGGATTAGTGACTTGCAGGCGTGAGGCCCTGGTGGGGGAGAGAGGTCAGTTACAGGGTGGACAGGAGGTGGAGAGGCTCCTCAGGGTAAACCCGCCCTGGTGCCATGCGTGAAGAGTGGGTGGGAGCCGATGCAAACATGGAACTTTTGAGGATAAGAGCACTGTGGCCATTCTAGTCCCTTGTGTCCTGAGAAAGGGCCAGGAAAACATGGTGATCTGGGCCAGGACAGGCAGATTACCGCAAGACCTGGCAGCCTGATTGGGCCTTCTAAGGGGCACATGTGGTCCCGGGGTTGGAGGCTCTCGCAGCCATAGAGATCTCCCTCCCTCCTTCACTGGCTTGGACCTGAGTCACCTCCGGGAAGATGCTGCTGCAGGGAGGGGCCAAAGGCGGGGCTTGGAGGGTTCTGGGAGGAGGGAGGGTGGTGCCCGGCCAGCCTCTCTGACTCAGTTTCCCCACCCAACCCCAGACATCCTGACAGAGGATGACGTCTACTGCAGCTGCCTGGCCAAGACTCTCTGCCACGTGCCCGTCCCTGTGACTGTGGGTTTCTATGCCCCCTTTGGCTGCCGACTGCACATGATGCTGGACAAGATCACTAGTGAGGCTCTTTGGGGGCTGGGGGTGGGGTGGGGGGACAGGAAATGCTATAAGGTCAGATATGGTGGTGCATGCTTCTTGTCCCAGTACTCAGAAGGCTGAGGCAAGAACACTGCCATGAGTTTGAGGCCAGCTTAGGCTACATAGTAAATTCAAGGCCAGCCTGAACTACCTAGTAAAAAAAAAACAAAAAAAAAAAAAAACACTCCATAGAGTCCAGCCTGCCCCATCCATAACAGCGGTGACCAAATCCTCCCCATGGTCACACTCAAGTCCTATCCCCTCCCTGTCCACTCCTTTGCCATCAAATCCACTCTAAGGGATCCTCTTAAATTGAGCCTGCTCCTCCCTTGCTTGCTCAGGAGCCTTCCCTCCTGCCGTGCACCCTGAGGAGGAAGCCTGGCTTCTTACTGAAGCTTCCGGCTCCTGCAGGGCACTCCTAGGAAGCCCTGTAGACACAGCCAAGCTAAGTGGTGGCCAGAGCGGCTGGTGATTCCTCTGTATGCCTGAGCTAGCTGCTTGGGGGCATCCACTCAGGGACCCCTGTCCTGCCACTGTGGGGTCAGGAGGAGAGAAGCACAGGTCACAGGAAAAAAGGGTGTTCCTGCCCTTCTTCTGGTTGTTCAGACACTGCACAACAGCCCCTCAGATCAGGGGATGTGGTGACCCAGATAAAGAGGACGCTGTCCAGCAGGGAAGACTTCCTCAGACTCAGAGCTTCGGGCCGGCTGAAGGCCCCTGAGCTGGCCTGAGATCAAGGAGGGCTGGCTCCCTGGAGGCGGCAGCACTATAAGCTCTGTGCCGGAGGAGCAGTGACCCAGGAAAGCACGAGCAGGGCTGCAACCCAGCGTCTCTCATGCATTCATTCCTTAGGCTTCCCTGGAGCCCCCTTCTTGGCACCTTTTCAGGCTCCATCAGTTTGCCACCAGGCAGCCCCACCCTTGCCTCTGTCCTGGCTCTTCTGCCCATGCCTCCTCTCACCCTCTCTCCTCTAAGAAGCAGCTTCAGCCTTGCCCTCCGGTCTGGCCCTCACTGGGCTTCGGGTGCAGGTCTCTCCTCCCCTGCTTTGCGCATCTGCGCCCGGTTCCATAGGGTTCTCCAGGGCTCACCTGAAGCCCAGCGCAGCCCCCAGGTCTCTCAAAGACACGCTCCGTTTTGACCACGCCCCACCTCTCAGCCCCTCACATCATCTCCTCTCCCCTCAGTGCTCATGCAGCAGGAGGCGTCGCAGCGGGAGCTGGAGGAGCTGCAGCACGTGCAGTGGCGGCCTCGGCAGGTGCGTGGCTGGGGTTACCCGCAGCTGCTGTGGTACCTGGTGTTCCTGCAGCCCATCATCACCGAGGTGCACCTGCGGCGCAAGAACGTGGAATTCCTCTTCATCCGCTTCAGCGCCTGGCAGTACGCGGGCACAGACAAGCTGTGGGCAGGCCTGGTGACCACGCTCTGCGAGGGCATCCGCCACCACTATGGTGCGCTGCCCTTCAGTGTGTACTCCGTGCTGGGCAACAAGCCGGCCACGTCGCCAGGTGTCTGCCAGCGTGAGTGGCACTGCCGGCTCCGTGTGTGCCTGGCGCTGCTGGCGCTGCTGGCGGCGCTGGCCCTCGGCATTGGTCTGCTCTACTTGTCCCTGGGGGGCCTCAACCACACGGCCCCTGGCGGCAGCTTGCTGAAGGTATTTGGTGGCGCGGCCACCACGCTATCAGGCTCGGGGCTGCTCATGGCCGTGTACTCGGTGGGCAAGCACCTGTTCGTAAGCCAGCGCAAGAAGATCGAGAGGCTGGTGACCCGTGAGAAGTTCGGCAGCCAGCTGGGCTTCATGTGTGAGGTGAAGAAGGAGGTGGAGCTGCTCACCGACTTCCTGTGCTTTCTGGAAATCTACCAGCGGCGCCGGCTGCGGGTGGTGCTTGAGGTCACGGGGCTGGACACGTGCTACCCCGAGCGCGTGGTGGGCGTGCTCAACGCCATCAACACGCTCCTGTCCGACAGCCATGCACCTTTCATCTTTATCCTGGTCGTGGACCCTAGCATCCTGGCCGCATGCCTTGAGAGCGCTGGCAACATGAAGGGCACGGCGGACAACGGCTACCTCTTCCTCAACCGCACCGTCACGCTGCCCTTCTCCGTGCCCATCATGGGCCGACGCACCAAGCTGCAGTTCCTGCACGATGCTGTGCAGAGCCGCGATGACCTGCTCTTCCGCGAGATTACTCGCAAGCTGCGGCAGGCTGAGTGCCAGGCCGGCGAGGGCGTGCAGCTCCTGGCGGTGGAGACGCAGGCGGAGGCGGAGCGCATGCAGGGCCGCATCGACGCGGAGGCGTCACGTCGCATCCAGGAGGCACTCTTCTGCCTACACGACGAGCACGACTGCCTGTATGAGTTTGTGCCCGACAACGTGGTGTCTATGCGGCGCATTGTTAACACGGTGCCCATCACCGTGCGCCTGCTGCAGCAACAGCAGCAGACTAACTTCGTGGGCCCCACACCGCGCCAGGCTGTGGCGTGGGTCGTGCTGGCCAACCAGTGGCCCTGCCGCCTCAGCTGGGTGCTGCAGTGCCTGGAGGACAGGCAGCAGGCAGGGGGTGAGCCCGAGGCTGGCGCGCGCCTCTGGGACGTTTTCTGTGACAACAGCCGAGAACTTCACAGCATGACCAAGGCATTGCAGAATGTGCTGGACCTGGACGGTGATCCCGAGCTCTTTGAACGCTTCCTGGGCTCTGATTTCCCCTTCACTGTGGCGGAGGCTCAGTGCCTGCTGCGCTGCACTGTCAACCTGGACCATTCCATCCGCCGCCGCATGGGGCTTATCCGCGCGGTCAGTGCACTCAAGCCGCCCAGCCCACCCAAATCCCCAGCCCGAGATGTGCCTTCTGCTGCTCACCGAGCCACTAATGCTGCAGGGGCATCCCCGAGGGGCCATGTGGCACAGCACACCAGTGAAACCCACCATCCCCTGGACTGGGCCCACGGGGGTAAGCCAAGGTTGGCAGCCTGAGCCGGGTAGGCCCTGAATGGATGAACCCAGGGCAGCAAGCTGTCCACTGTCCCGACAAAGGTGTAGGGGGCCACATCTCCCAGGTCACTCTGGGTCTCAGTGTGAGTGCCTCCCAGTGGGGAGAGAAGGTGCAAGGAGGAAGACAGGGCTCCAGTGCAATAAATGATGTGCTCAGCCCTCCCCCAGTGGATGCTGTTCTAGTTCCCTAGCTCAGTGAGGACTGGGGACCAGGCCTGCCCTGCCCTGCTCACTTCCTGCAAAAGGAGCCAGGCCTCTGCGCTGTGCATTGACATCCAGGTGGCAGGAGGGCTGCGGGGGCGGTGGGTGAGGCAGAGGAGACAAGGGGTGGATGTATCAAGTTGACTCAGGCAACCAGGAGTGCCCAGGCCGGAAGGAATCTGGGTCCTTGTCCCTGTGCCCTAGCCTGTCTTCTGTGGCATTTCCAGGGTGCTGCACCCACTGACCTCGAGGGGTTGGCTGGTAGCACTGTCACCCCAAGAGTAACTGTCCAGGAGTAAATACCCTGTGGGCTCATGGGAGGCCACTTGGTGGCCATAGGCTGGTCACTGACAATGAAGACACCTGATTGGCCACTTATTGAAGACTAGCAATTGGGACATTCCAATCACTGAGCCAGCAACTGGGCTGACATGGATGGGCTGGGCACTGCCAGCTTGCTCACTGCCTGGCCCTTCCAGCCATGGAACCGCCTCACACCTGAGTTCCTCAGTCATCTGGCAAATATTCAGCTCCACACACAGTCCCACTGGGTTCTTGGCCTGGTATGAGGAAACAGCAGGGACCAGAAGCCAAAGGGCTGCCGCTCAGGGGACAGGCTTTCCAGGGCCCCAGGATGGGAGCACCAGCCCTCCCTGCCCTCCATCCCAGGCCTGGCCTGCTCTTCAGGCAACAGTGGTTGGTGTGTGGGTGACCCAGGTCAAAGCCCCAATGACTTTTAGGGACAGAGATGCCTTCTCAGCCATGAGTGGCCAAACTGCTGGGATAAGCGTAGACCTGCTGGGGGAGAGGCCTCCAACCCAGGGGGAGTTCAAGGACGTGGCCCCCAGGACATGGGCATGTAACTCCATCAGTCAGCATGGCTGTGGACGTGCTAGTGTCACATGACCATGTGCTTTTGCCTTGCTCTGGCCCATCTGAGGTGGATTCCTTTCTCAAGAGTCTGAGGGACTTAAGGAGCAGGGCCCAGGCTGTTGCTGCTTGGGGCCTGCAGTTGTTGTTAGATGGTCCCCAGCGGTGGCGTCTGTTGCCCATTCTGTCACAAGGCTCTGCCAAAGCTGGAGTTTAGGACTTTGTGAACAAAAACAGTAACAGAATGCCAGGGGGCTCCTGCAGGAATGTACAAAGGCAAGGCCAGCTGAGGGTGCCGGATGTGGGCTGTGCTACAAGCTGCTCATCAGTGTGGTCTGCTGTGCCCAAGTAGCTGGTATGTGGATGCTGCCTGTCTGCCGAGAGTTCCCACATCTCTACACTGACCAGGTGTGTGGGTTTCCCTTCTCCCCTCCCCAAGGGCCAGGGATGTCTGTAACCCTAGAAAGTGACAGCAAGCAGAGCACTTGAGGAAGCACTTGAGGAAGCTGAGTCACCTGGTGCTGCCACTAAACCCCACAAAAGTGATAAATGGGACCTGGAGGGGTCTTGAAGATATGGGCAGTGTCCAGCAATGACCTGCTGCCAAGACAGACAACTGGAGACGTCAGGGTGGCTGAAGGAGGCCATGACCACAGTCTACCAGAGTGAGGCTCAGGGGTGTGCAGCCTTCAAGTTTTCCTCAAGAATGAGAGACCCCTTCCTTGCCCCTCCCTGGCTTCTAGGGCTGTCAGGCTTGTAACTGCATCACTCTAGTCCTGCCTTCCCCTTGGGGCTGTTGGTGTCCAAATTCTCCCCTTTTATGTGTTTACATGAATGACAGGATCTGGAGATACTGCACAGGCAGTTTTTTTCTTTTCTTTTTTTTTTTTTTTAATGTATTTAGTACAGGGTCTACAGGGTCTCACTGCACAGATCAGACTCGTTGTGATCCTCCCGTTTTCAGCTTCCCAAGCGCTGGGATTACAGGTGCGGGTCACCATGCCCAGTCTCATTCGCCCGGCTTAGCAGGGCATGGGGATCAAACCCGTCCCCTAGCGTTTGCCTAAGTAAGTGCTTTAATCTGCTGAGCTATCTGGCTGGCCCTTAGCTCAGGCAGATCTTGAACTCCTGGGCTCAATCAATCTTCTCCAATAGCTTGGGTTCCACTCCTGCTACTCTTCCTGGCTGCAATCAACTCCCTACCAGACCCTGTGATGGGGATGGAGCCTAGAGCTCATGCATGCCAGGGTCCCAACCTCACAAGCATGCCAGTGGTTGGGCCACGCAACTGAACTCATCCTAAAGTGTCAATTTTGGCAAATACTATTCCCAAGTACTTGATCAATTTTTTTTTTTTTTTTTTTTTTTGATGGGGGAAACAATCTAATCTGTAACCATGGGGAAGGCCCAGTTGGCCGTCCCAAGCCAAACACAGAGCAGGGATGAACAGAGATGAGGCTAGAAAGAGGACCTCAGCCCCTTGGGGGCACCATAAGGCACACTGTGCCCACCAGGCCTCAAGGAGGCCCCCAGGGCACAGGTGAGCACCAGGGGCCACAGCCCCTAGGGGCTTAGGATTAGTCTCACAGGCACCAGCTGGAGCCTAAGAGGGCTCAGCTCACTGGGGCTGGACTCATGGAGCCCAAGTAGAAAGGGTCTAGCTTCATGGTTATCTTCTCAGCAGCAACAGCTCCGAGTCTCACACAAGACCTGGAACCAGGGCAGCTTGGAGAGGCCCCAACCCCCATCTCCACAGGGTCCCAGCAGAGGGACAAGAGGCCCAGAATACAGGCTGGCTGAGCTGGTGCCTCCCAGCTGTTTAGGGGCACAGATGGGATGGACAGGTGGCTTTAGGTGGTTATAAGTGGGAGTTCGAACATGGCTGTCCTGGGGACAGTGAGGACACTTCTAGTTACAAATGACAACAAACCTACATGGCTCAACCCAGAACAGGAGCCGGGTGGTGGAGCCTGTGCATGAGCTAATTTGTAACCCCAGGAAAGGAGTGTGGGAGGGGACCTGCCTTGCCCATGGGGTGGGGCTCATCCTGCCTGGACTAGGTCCCCAGGAAGGTGGTGTGCACACTGGCCCGTGCGTGGGCGGGCTGTCTGGTTTTGACTCTTCCGCCACCTGACTTTCATTCGGGGATCCCTGGTACTGCCCTCTGGGAACTCCACAAGAAGATACCATGGGGACCCCACCCACTGCACCCCACAGGGGCACCCAAGGCCAGACAAAGCAGAGAGGGTTAAGTGGTGAGCCCAGCCCCAGTTTATTAGAAAAGGTGTGCACAGAGCCGCACCGCCAGCCCCCCTCACCCGCCCGCCCATGGTTGTAGTGCCTCCCAGGGCGCAGCCTCCATGGCCTGGGCAGCAAGGTCCCCAGGTGCTCAAGGCTGCCACCCCAGCTCCCTGATAGATTTATTGCACTTAAGAGAAAGAAAGCTCTGATCCTTTGCACCCAGCCCCACCCGCCCGGCCCTCACCCCACCTGGGGCGTTTTGGAACTTCCACCACCAGCGCCACCTCCCATGCCACCTGCCTGGTCCCCAATGGGGCTGAGGGGGCCACCCTGCCACCTTGGACTCCTGCTCACAATAGGACAGGGCAGGCTGGGCCGGGACAGCTATCTAGGACCAGAGCAGCCCTGCGGCCACCTCACCCTCCTGCCCCTGAGGTCGACCCCAGCCAAGTCCTCGAGTGTCAGACACACAAATAGACATGCCACGGCCTTGCTCGCGGCTGTAGTGCTCCCGGGGAGGGGTCCTTGGTGCCCCTGGCCCGGCATCCTAGGTCTCAGAAGGGCTGGGGTGAGGGCGAGCAGATTCTCATGGCTCTGGCCTCAGCTCATCCAAGACCAACCGGAAAAAAGGAACTAGGGGAACAGAAAACAGGGGTACTGTCAGAGGAGGGGCCCCCCACCATTCCCACCCTCGTGGCCCAGCCACCTACAGTGTCACAGTGTCTCCTGTGCGGCCTCCTGACTGGCCTCCAGAAGCAGCTCCTCCAGCGCCTTCTCATCCTGCGGGCAGCGCAGTTCTGTGGGGTGGCTTTCATCAGGCAGGGCGGCAGAAGGACCCATAGCCACACACCTCCCGCGGCCCACCCCAGGAACAGGGGGCACAGGGCTGGGACCGAGGACCAGATCCCTCTTGCTTCCACCCCTCCCTGGGTGGTTTCTGAGGGAAATGGCTCAGCTATGTGGAAGTCACACGGTGGGCCCTGGCCTTGACCACCCCAGCCTCTCACCGTGCTCCAGGCCACAGCTGCCTCCCTTGGCCTCAGGCCCTGGGGGCGGCTCTGGGGGCAGCGCAAGGGCAAACTCTGGCTTCAGGCCGTTGGGCAGCGGTGGGCCTGACTGAGGTGACTCCGGCTCAGGTGATTCTGGATCCTGGGTGCCAGTGGCCTTGGCTGCTGGGAAGACAGGGGCGGGGGACAGGGGTGGAGAGGAAGGGGAGGCGAGGCTGGCAGGTATGGGGGGCTCTGCCTTCTCAGGTGGACTCTCCACCCGGGTCACCACAAACACCTTGTGACCCCGGCCTGGGCTGGACACGGAAATCCGCTGCTCCGTTGGGGAAGAAGGGCTGCTGGGGGGGCTCCTGTCCCCAGGGCCTAGAGAGTCCGTGGGGGGCACCAGGGCAGGACAGGGGGCCAAGGAACTCTGGCCACTGCCATTCTCTTTCCTCTGCCTGTCCTTGTCCTTCTCCTCCTCCTCCTCGTCCTCCCCATCTGAGACTGAGTCCGAGTCAGAGTCTGGGCCGAGCCCTGGGGGGCTGGGAGTCCCATTCTGAGCTGCAGCAGGGGTTGAGTCCGCAGACTCCTCGAGGGGCTGTGGCCCGGTGACAGTAATCTCGGGCATGGAGGCTGACAGCTGCAGCGGCTGCTCCTTCTCCTCCCGCTCCCTCGCCAGCACGAAGTTGCGCTTGCAGCCATTCTGGATCTCGGCCAGCAGCGCCTTCTGCGTCTCGATGAAGCTCTTTACCTGTGGGGTGCCTCCTGGCTAAGGCCTGTGCTCCAGCAGGGCCTGTGGCAGCCCACCCCACCAGGCCCGCCAGCCCCCAGGCCCCAGAGAACCCCTGGCTGGCTCACCGCCTCCTTCTTGGGCTCGCGGTCAAGGTCCAGGCGCAGCAGGGAGTGGTTCACCTTGAGAGCCAACGACAGTGCCATGAGCCCGCCCGTCTTGATCTCGTTCTCCCGCAGGTCCAGTCTCAGGAGGCGGGGGCTCTCGGCGATGAACTCCGCCACTGCCACCGCGCCTGGGAGGGGGGACCGCAGGGGCTGGCCAGGAGCCCCACACACGCAGCTGGCCGCCCCCAGCTGAGCCCCCAGGCCGCGCCCTACCCTCGCAAGTGAGCTTGGTGGAGGCCAGGCCCAGGCGCAGCACGCTGCGGTTGCTGATGAGCCCATTCTTGAGGTTGCGTACACCCTCGTTCCCGATGGGGTTGTGGCCCAGGTTCAGCGTCTCCAGGCTCTGTGTGTGTGGCTGCAGGGTGGGGAGGGGACCCCAGGGGACGCAAGGCCCAGGAGGACAAGTCAGGAAGGGGCCCAGAAGAAGCAAAGCCACACGCTCTTTCCCTGCTGAGGGGCAGCACCTGAGAACTGGCAGGAACCTGGCATGGTGGCAAATGCCCACAATCCTGGCACTTGGAATGCTGAGGCAGAAGGGTTCCCAGTTCAAGGCCAGCCTGAACTACACAATAAGACCTTGTCTCAAAAAAATAAAAAATGAAGGCACCAGCAGATTCAGGCCTGGCCCCACATCAATCCTGAACAGCGGGGTTGTCTGTGTGCTTGGTCTTCCCAAGTGTCCTGTCCCTGTGCACTCTCAGCTCTCCAAGACTCTGGGTGGTCCCCACATGCTGGCCCCACCCTCACAGGGGCTGTTGGCTCCATGCCAAGGCGGGCCATGGGCCTAAGCACAGCCTGAGTGGGGCACTCCAACCCAAGGTCTGGGTCTCCGAGGGTTCACCCTGGAGTCCTTGCACCTGAGGAACTTGCTTTACACAGTTCATCAAGTGTTAAGAGGCACATGCTGTAATCCCACAACTCGGGAGCCTGAGAAAGGAAGATACTGGTTATACAGCCAGTCTGGGCTGCCTCAGGAGCGTAAGGCCAGTTATATATAATGAGACTCTAACTCAAAAAAGCCCAAATAAATGAATTTTGTAAGAAAAACTAACAATTTACTGAAAGCTTTCAAGTAAAACAACTCTTTTGGCATAATAGTGTATCACATTGGAAAAAAGAAAGGAATTGAAGAACACCAGGGCCCAGAGGCCGAGCGAAGACAGCTGGGCAGAGGGCTCCTCTAGAGCCAGGTGCAGCTGCTGTGTTTTGGACTGGGTGGCAGAGGTGAGGGGTGACTCACCAGCGTCATCCCCAGGAAGGCCATGCCCGTGTGCGTGAGCTGGTTGTTCCACAGCACCAGGGTCACCAGCCCCTTCCTCTGCTCCTTGAGACCCTCACAAATGTAGGCCAGGCCTAGGGGAGGGCTGCGGTCAGAGTCCAGCCTATAGCCAGCCGAGCAGGCCTCAGATGAGACTGCCCGGCCTCTGGTGCCAGCTCCACATGCACTGCACACCAGGAATCCACTTCCATCTCCCACCTCTGCCTCATGCCTGCACCAAGGCCTGAGCCAGGCCTGCCAGGGCATGAGGGGGTGCCCAGATGTCGGGTCAGGGCCTCCCACACCAAAGGGGACAGTGGCCTTGCAGTGCCACCTTGACCCCTGCCATTCTCTACAGAGGGCCAGGAATCTCTGCCCAAAGCCTGTTCCCCGCATAGGATGTGAACTTCTCGGTTCCTCTCTCCTCATTTATCCCCTGGCTCAGTGAAGCTTCCCCCCATCTGTGTATTTCCAGACTAGGGCCTTTCTACCTGCTGTTCCTGCTTAATTTTTCCAGGCTTTAAGAAAGGCCAGCTTTGTTCAGGTCACTTCCAGGAAGTTCCTCCCATTGCCCTTCCTGCTTGCACGACCCTTACAGCTGCCAGCTGACCCTGTACCCCAAAAGTGTCCTCTCCTTCAGCCACTTTTCAGGTGTGCCTTTCCCTTCAGTACCTCACTGCAGGATCCCACACTGGGTCAGGCCCCCTTGCCCATTCTGGAAGTCACTGTCTAGGGCCCCAAGAGGGCAGTCCCAAAGACACGCAGCCTGGGTCACATCCCAAGCACCGTGAGCCTAGGGCCGAGTGACAGCAGGGCCGCACGCACCAGAGTCCAGCACGTGGTTGTTGCGCAGGTCCAGGATCTGCAGGGAACAGTTGAACTTGAGCAGGTTGCCCAACTGAGCCGAGTCCTGCAGGCCATTGAGCTTGTTGTCAGCCAGGTACAGCTCTCGCAGGTTCATGTTCATCTTCAGGGCTGTGGCTATGGGAGCAACAGGGCGGGTAAGTGGCCAGGTCACCTCCTGGGCAGCCCCCAGGCTGCACCTCCAGGCATGGACTCACCAAGCAGCATGAGCGGCCGCCCCGACAGGCTGGCATTCTCCAGGTGCAGCACCGCCAGGCTGCTTCGGATGCGCAGGGCGCGGGCCACAAAGGGTGCCGAGTGGTCCAGCAGGGGTGTGTTGCGAGCATCCAGGTACTGCAGGCAGCTGGTCTGCGGGCCAGGCCAGGTGTGTCAGCTCAGCCTCCCTCCCAGCCCCAGGCCTGCTGGGAACGGCACCAGGCAAGGAGATGCAAGGCCACAGTGGGGTTCACCACAGCTCAGCTCCCATCCCTACCTGGGCCCAACCTTCCGAAAGTGAGTGAAGCAGGGCTGCTTCCCACAGCTGCTTCCCCCTCAGGGATTACACCAGGGAGGGGAAGGAGGCACGCGGACCTCAAGGCTGGGCGCCCCGGAACATGAGTCATGCCCACCTTCCGCATCATGTGGGCAGCAGCCTGCCAGCCCCGGGTGCCAATGTGCTTGTTGAAGGAGATGTTGAGGTGGGTGGCCGACTCATAGTACTCGATCATGTCGAACAGGGCTGAGGCACCCTGAGGGCAGACACGTGGGGCTCAGACTTAGGTGGGGTTGGCCCCCTGAGACACATGGGGTTCCAGGAAGGGGCTGCACCTCCAGGGGGAGGACAATACCATGGTCTGGCCCAGGCCAGAGGGCTGAGCAGTGGCAGCCTGCGCCTGGGATCAGCACTGCTTCAAGCAGGTACAGCCTACAACTCTGGCCCACAAGAACCACTCTTCTGACGAAGCCAGTCTGTTTCTGTCACTGAGCCCTGACTTTTCTTTTCTTTGAGATAGGCCTTGAACTCACAGAGCTTCTCTTGCCTCAGCTTCCCACCACACCTGGCCAGGAGTCCTGGCTGATGTGCTGTGTGCCCAGCACAGGCCCCGGTCCAGGTTGGCCAGTGCCTCGTCTGGGGCCTGCACGATCTTTCCCACTAGGCCTTCTCCCACGTCCCCATGCACTCTGAGTTCCTGGGGACTTCCTAAGTCTGGGGAGGTAACCATACCTGGCCCTAGCTGGGGAGCTTCCCAAGTGTTCCTTAGTCCTGTAGCCACTCTGATCTGAGCCCCAGGGCCAGCTCCACAGAAGGCTCCCTGCCCCTCCCTGTGCCCAGCCCACCTAACCTCTCCTATGGGCTCCAACACATACCCACATATTCTGCCACATAGATGTCTCCCTCTTGTCCTTCTTTTGTTTTGTTTTTGTGAGACATGGTCTCAAATGGAGTTGAAGCTGACCTTAAATTCACTATGTAGCTCATGCTGGCCTCGAATTCATGGTGATTCTCCTGCCTAGACTCATGCTGGGATTCTGGGCATAAACTGCCATGCACATCCTGTCCTTCAAGAGGTCCTGCTCTTGTCCCATCACCAGCAACCCCTGCCCACCAAAACCCCTGAGGGGCCTGGGAGCCCCAGGGACCATGCGTCTGGGTGCCAGGAGGAGTGCTCACATCTTCATCCAGGTTTGTCTGTTCCAGGTCCACAACCTTGAACTGCAGCCTCTTGAAGACTTCCTCCAGAGCCTCGCAGGTCTTATAGTCAAGCTTCTCCCCTGGGAGGAGGTGGTGGCCATATGGGTCTCTGCCTGCACACGGAGGGCCTGGCCCAGGAGGATGGGAGGCCCTGCCCCCACAGCCCTGACAGCCCTTCTATCCCAGCTCCTGCCCAGCTCCCACTCTGCTCACCACCCTGGGGTGCCCAGCACCACAGACACCCAACCTTTCAGGTCCAGACAGTCAATGCGGTGATCAAGGTCTGTGAATTCCTGTGAAAACAGAAGCAGGGTGGGTGGCAGATGAGGTAAAAAGCCCTGAAGAAGCTGTGCCACCTGCAGTCGCAGGTCAGATGGCAAGGCAGCCATCCAGGTGCCCCAAGCTGGGACCTGGAACATCGGGCCTCAAGGAATCACAGGGCCCACAAAGGACCCTACCTGCCCCAGCTAGAGGAAGTGGGGCAGTGGGCAGGGAGGATGACAGAGTTTGCCCACGAGTCTTGTGAAGAGGTGGTCAGTGAAGGGAGGGATGGCACTGGCTTACATCCACAAGGCCTTGTTCTCTGGCATTCCCATATCTGGGGATGAGGGGCCAGGGCCAGCCTTGCCAACAGTCCTCAGCCTCACATGAGTCAGCTTCACCTGCAGCCACCACACCAAGCAGCCCCATTCTGGGTCTGGCAGTGCAGCACCCCTGGGACCCCTGGGGACCTCCCCTGGTGCAGGTGCAGACTGGAGGTGCACAAAAGAGCTGGCTGCAGGAGAGAGACCTCGAAGTCTGGAAGGCAGGCGCCTATGGGATGCCCTTTACATAAGCATAGGTGCTGTCCCTGTTGGGACTCGGGCAAGAAATAATGGATTTTGCCCTTTATGTCTCTATTTTAATTTTCTAAGAATCAAGGGTTACATTGTTTCATAATTCAAACTTTTAAGAATATGTTTTATAATTCATATTTATGAGAACTGTAAACCTGGCTCCTCCCTGGGAACCAGAATTCCTCTGGGGGCTGACAGACCAAGGGATCTCTCCCTTGCTGTAATTCCTGCAAGGCGCCTGACTCCCTGGATGGCACGAGGCCTCCCTGGCCCCACTGTACCTGCAGCTGCCGGAGCAGCTTGGGGATCTGCCTGCAGTTGAGCTTCTGGCAGGCCTGCCGGTAGGCGCCAATCACCTCCTCCACCGTCACGTTCTGAGCTGTGGGCAGAGGCCAGGCCATTACTCCTCGCCCTCCCCGGACCCACACCTCACCCAACACTGACCGGCCCTGTCCTCCCCTCAAACTCCCGGGGTATGCCCAAACCACATCAGCACCTCCTCCACAATCACACAGCTAACAGCATAGGAGGCTTCAGTTATTATAGCTTACTCTCTACCACATGGACAGCCCAGACGGGCCAGGCTCGGGGTGTCTTGATCACCATGTCCCCAAAACTTTTTCCTTTTCTTTCAGCAGTGTCTCCCAACATAGCCCAGACTGAACTCAACCTTGAGATCTTCCTGTCTCAGCCTTCTAAGTGTTGGGATTACAACTGTATGCTGGGACATGCATGTTCCATGTCCCAACATTTCCCAGCCCAGGCCCAGGGCCAGGCTCACAGCAGGCATCTGACACTTTGGCTCCATGAACAGACTAAGCTGAGAAAGGTGATGCTTGCCCCAGGCCACAAAGCCAGTCCACAGTGTAGCCAGGAAATGAACCCAGCTTCCAGTGTGCAATGCCACGTGCACCTCCAACTCCTGCTCCTGAAACAACCTCTGCAGCTAACGGCCCCCAGGGTGCTCTGGCACAGGCTTGACCTGGGGTACAGAAGCAGTGGAAGGAAAGGGCCCGGCCTGGGAGCTTCTGGGGCAACAGGCAGCGCCAGGCAGAAGAATGCACAAAAGGAAGGAACCCCAACCCACCATGGGAAGCCATGGCCTGTCCCTAGATGACAGGTAGGGTGGGCTTTCAGGACATGTAATGGCCAGCTTCTCTGGTTGAGCATGGAAACTCTGTGTTCCAGTCTCCATGTACTGCTGAATAGTAACTGCACTAGGTGCCACATTTCATTTATCCATTCATTGGTTAATACATATTTGTACTGGCTTTAGTTCCTGGCTACTAGAGTTTAGATTCTCCCAGAGGGGACCAGGAGAGAAGGAAGAAAAGGCTAAGGAACATGCCTGGGTGCCAGACTTTGGGGTGCCAGAGTGGATGACAGAGAGGTGACAGTGCATGCAGGGAACAGCCAGAGAATTTTGGTCGCCTAGGCCCACCCCTCCTGCTGCCATCCTGCCATCTCCTCCAGCCATCCCTAGGCTGGGCAAGCATGCCTGCTCCACTCTGTGGGAGAAAGCCAGGTTCACAGCAAAGGCGACAGGCCCCTACGGCCAGGAACTGGACAAGGACAGAGGCCAACATGAGCCTAGAACTCTTGCTACCGTGTCGGGGCTTGGGTAAGCACTGAACTGCTGCCTGCTGTGAAGGGGTTACAGATGCCACTGTGGGCGCTGGGAGGTCGGCAGGGCCCTGGCTTCCTTGGAGACTAAAGGAGGAGGTGGGGCTGCCAGAGCTTCAAGACACTGCAAGACGGGCAATGTCCCAAGAGTCCAGCTATTGTAGGCTGAGGGGGACCCTCTGATAAAAGCACACCTGCTTGGTGGCCCGGGGTTCACAAGGGCAGAAGCTGGCACTGCCCAGGAAGGTAGCCCTTGGGAGCTGGGGAACATCCAGCTATACCCACACGTGCCACGGCCTTAACCAACCGGGTGCACAAACTGGGGGGGGGGGGACTGCTCTTTATCGTGCTGAAAACAGCAGTCATGAGCGCTACCACATCTGACAACTTCATGTGTCCCCAGAGGAGCACAAGCACTATATTGCAAGTTTAAAAGGTGGTTAGCGCACTATATTTTAACTGGCGTCCTTTGTAACCCTATTTTATTTTTTGGCTTCAAAGGTGGCCACTCTGAGAAGAGGCTGCAGCATTACTGGTGGCAAAGAGCTGAGAACCAAGGCCCTGGTCAGGCACGGTGAAGGGCTCTTAGAGCAGGGGCTGGCTGGATCTCACAGACTGGGCCAACACAGCCTGCTCTTACCATCGCTGGCTGTTCTCAGATCCCACACTGCCTGCAGGGACACACGCTCATGGCGGCCTCTGGAACTCTGGAATCTTTTTTTTTTTTTTTAACAAAGAATGCAATTTAGGGAGAGAAACCTGTCCTGGCCAGCAGCCGCACAGGATTCGTAGATTAGACACAAGAGGAGGGACTTATATGCTAAGCTAGACAAAGGTATATATGGGGCTTTGTCAAGAACTGTGAACACATCAGAGGGCAGATAAGAAACAGTCCAGGTACCACCAGGGCCTGGCACAGGTGCTCAGCTGACCACTGTCTTCAGGACTTTCTGGGGCAGGGTTTGGCATGCAAGCCAGGATCACCTGGCGGGCAAGATGGTGGCTATCACCACTGGAGCTCTGGGCCTCTGCAGTGCGCCTCCTTCAGGAGCTCACAGCCCCTCCGCCAGAAAGCCTGCCTGGCTACCCGGGCTCAGGCCCTCCTCCTGGCTCCTGGAATCTGCTGGGAGCTGCCAATCCAGCCCCATCCACTGGGCTGTCATCGTCTGGGGACAGGTGGTGGCCTCTGAGTGCTAGACTATCCTGGTCACATCATGCCTTTGCCATTACCCAGCACAGGGCTGGACTAACAGCAGGTCCCAGAACTACTGCTGGCTGGGTGTACCTCAGGGGGACAGCCGCACTCAGCATGCACCAAGTTACCTTAAACAACAAAACACCATTAGTTCTGTGAATGGCTGGGGCAAGCACTACAACACCGAGACCAGGCTTGTGTCCTGGGCCCCACCAGCCACCCACTGTTATCTTTCCTTTACTGGGCCTTGCTTTCCCCAACCAAATGCAAGCCACCATCCTCAAGGGTCCTGAGAACCCATTTCTCTGAGTGGACAGGTGAAGGGCAGTCACAGAGCTGCAGTGTGTCACTTCTCAGTGCTGGCTAGTTCCTTCTCCAACCCAAGCTCCAGTGTTGCCAGCTGTGGGTTTCTCCCCAGGCCAACTCTGCACTACTGACACCACCATCTGCCCACCCTTCTACAGGATACCTGTAGGGGTCAGGACCAGCACTGCCTGAGTCTCAGCCAAGCCTGAGCCCAAGGAGGTCCCATCTGTCCACCCAGTTATAAGAGGGAAACAGCCACCAGGGTGACAACGGTAACTTGCCGGTTTCCTCAGGGGCTGAGACTGATAAGAACAAGAGCAGGCTCAGAGCTGGTCCATGGAAGCTTGGCAGGCTGGGGCCAGCACACGGTGCCATCAGCATGTCCCACGGCCTGGCTCTGTGGGACTGTCTATGTTAACCAGAATTCACTAGTAGTAGTAGTAGTAGTACCAGGAATTGAACTCAGGGCCTTGTGCTTGCCAAGCAGGCACTTGTGCAGCTGAGCAACCAGCCTTTTTTTTTGAGACAGGGTTTCGCTATGCAGTTCAGGCTGGCCTTGAACTCACTGTGTATCCCAGGTTGGCCCTGCAGCCTCCTGAGTGCTAGGATTACAGGCATGTGCCACCATGTCCCGCTTATTATCAATATTTATGGATAATGAGGAGTGGCAGAGAGGCGGCACACAGGGAGGGCAGGGCAACAGGCACCTGCAGGGCACCCACAAACTGCACCAAGTGCTTCCTGCATGAACACACCCAGTGCTCCAGCACACCATCGGGAGGGGTCTGGACAGTGATCTACCACCAGGCATAAACTGAGCTCAGAGCAGGGTGTGTGTGTGTGTGTGTGTGTGTGTGTGTGTGTGTGTGTGTGTGTGTGTGTGTTGGCCACAAGGCATTTTATACCCAGCACCTCAGCAGAAAGAGGAAGGCATGAGCCCAGTGTGACATGTAATGCTGGGGGCAGGCTCTGGGCCACCAGACAATGGCCTGTCACTGTTCAATGACTCCTATTACCTATGCAAAAGAATGTGCATGACACCAAGTGTCCTGCTTAAGAAGGCAAGGAGCCAGGCACACTGACACATGCTTATAATCTCCGCACCATGGGAGGCTGAGGCAGAAGTATCCTAAGTATGCGCCCAGCCTGGACAGCTTGGTAATTTAGCAAGGCTTTGTTTTGAAATAAAAAAAAATTTAAATAGGCTGGGGATGTAGCTCAGTGCTAAAGCCATGGATTCAGTCACCACAGCTTGAGGAGTATAGATCTCAGTCATGGTTTCCAGGCAGTCCCGGAATGGGGGACATGGCAGGAGCAGGTCTGTGTCCCTAAGCACCCTTCAGGATGAGCTGCCAACCCACAGAGCCAGCCAGGGAAGCAGTGGTGGCAGAACAGGAGCAGACCAGCCCCTAAGGGTGGGCATGCAGCGGCTAGGAAGGCAGGGGCTCTCCGAGCTCAGGCACTCCAGGGCCAGGTACCAAGGGCAGGATGTACAGTGTTAAGGAACTCCATGGCCCCAAGTGACGTGGCCGGAACCATCACTGCCTCCCTAGCACGCTCTGAGGTCCTCGGTGGGCTTCACCGTGCAGCACCAAATCGCTCCATCTCACACAGGAGCCACAAAGCAGGGGCTCAGGAAGTAGGTTCTGGGGCCAGCATGTTTCTGGCCAAACTCAACACTCTGCTTCTAGCCAAAGCAACTAACCCTGTTCCCTGCCACTTGCCCTACCTGTGGGTATGTCGCCCAGTACTCCTGTGGAGATTCCTATCCTGCTTCCTTCTCCCCTGGGAACAGCCCAGTTGCCCCACTGGTCCAGGACAGGCATCCATCAGTCTGTGATGAACAACCATCCACAAAGGGGTTGGGGGTGCAATGGTACATGCTGAATGCACACAAATGTGACACACACAAACGCACACATACACACAAACACCTGCAAGGGGCCTTTGGGCACATGCACATGTGAATCAGGGCAGGCCCTGGATGTGTGTGCTGAAGTCCAATGACCTGAATCCTGACTGATGCAAGGGCTAGAGTTCAAGTGGCTGCCTATGGAAGGAGCACTGTGTGCACGCATGTGCACTTGTATACGTGCTTGCATACACAGAGCTATGAAGCAGCCCACGGTGACACACGCCCATAATTCTAGAACTCAGGAGGCTAAGGCAGGAGGATTGTGAGTTTAAGACCAGCCCGATTACATATCAAGTTCAAGGCTGGCTTGGGCTATGTAACAAGTCCCTGTCCAAAAATT